TTTTACATTACTTCAATTTCCATTTTTAATGAAATTTTTAATTAAATCAGGTAATGTTTTAATTTTACCTTAATAGTATAAAAAAATCGTGATTTTAAATTCAGTAAGTTTTTTGAATTTAGTCAATTTTAGTGGGTTTTCGAATTTATTTAGAAGTATTCCTTTTGAACAGTTGGCTGATACCAACTGTTCAAAAAGAATGTACCAGTGATCTGGTAATAGCTTTAGTTATGTCTCTAGGTATGGTGTATATGATCGTCGAACAAGACTTTCGAAGAATAAAGTCAAACAGCTTACGTTCGTAAACGTGAATTGAAACCCGGAGGAATGTAAAATTTAAATTCCAACGATGTACCGGTTCCCATGGACAACACCTCGCAACACCCAGCGCTTGCTCCAGTAGGTGACGTCGCTGTGGCTGGCTCGCCAGAGTCGCCTTCCCGCGCTGAATCCAATGCAGGTATCGAGTTCACAGGTGGCACGCGACCAGCGAGGCGTGCGCGTCGTGGCCGACGAGGGAGGGGCAAGGGTAGCTTCAGTGCACTCCTACCTGTCCCTTCACCACCACCGCTGCCCTACACTGCGACGTCGGTACGACCGACATATCCTACACTGCAACCGCCACAGTCTGAATCAGCCTCGACCAGCGCACCGCAGGACTCCCCCGTAAAACACATACTGAGTGGCTCTGTGTGAAGAAACCACCGTCGTCGTCACCGAAAACTATTATTTATTCGGATAAAATAGGAGTAGGCTTAGGGCCCCTGTTGTATAACTGTCTAACACAACATGTAACTAATATTTGTTGTCCTGGCATTAATTTTTCTGGCATCATAGAAAAAATTTCTAATGAAAACTATGACGAGCATACTACCGTGGTCATTATGTTAGGAAGTCATATAGGATTAACTAAAAGTGTGTTGGACATTGGTATACAGAAAATTATCAATTTAAGTAAGGTATCTAAATGTAAATTTGTTGTCAGCACTTTACCTTACTGCTCAAATTTGTCAAAAACGCATAATAAGTGTATATATAATATTAACTTATATCTAAATCAATTGACATGTCATCATAGTGATGCCATTTTACTTTTTGACATAAACAAATTTATACATAGTTTTTTTTTGACTCAGGATACTATGTACCTGTCTAGGAATTCAAAAAGACAGATTGCTACATTGTTAGCTTTTAATATACAAAATAGAGTTATAGGAAGTATAACGCAGTCACCTTTGATCGAAATTAGTATAAGTACTAATGAGAATGTTTCTTTAAACTGTTGACTTCGACAAAAGAAAATCTCTGTCAAACTATTTCAACAAATACAGTCAAACAGAGATTTTCTTGCAATAAATTAGGTAAAAATAAAACAACGGAGAAGCATAACTTTCTAAAGATGCTACATCAAAATATTCAAAGCTTCTCCAGCAAAACGTTACTGGTAGAATTATTTTTAGAAAAAAATAAATATGATATTGTTTGTCTGACTGAACACTGGCTTGCAGACTACGAAATGTTAATTAACTATGAAAATTATTTTATAGCCAGTTCCTTCAACCGCAAGCCAAATCATCACTTAAATATAGGCGGTGGATCTTTAATATTATTGCGTAAAAATATTAAGTTTAAAGCTCGCAAGGATATAGTAGGACTTTCGGTTGAACGAAGTGTTGAGGTATCTTGTATCGAGCTGGAAAATCATGTTGTAGTGTGCGTATACAGGCCACCATATTATCACAATTTTCCTACTTTTGAGAATGTTATGGAAGATGTCCTAAAAATAGCTTGCAGCACAAAGAAACAAGTCATTGTAAGCGGTGATTTCAATGTAGATATTTTAAAGACAGAAAACCTTACAAATAGATTATTACACTTATTTCAGTCATTTAATTTGAGTCACGTGTTTCACGGACCGACTAGAGTGACGTCATCTTCGTCCACTTGTGTCGACAATTTCTTTTGTAGTTGTATTTACTCAAGTAAATCAATAATCAATGCGTTACCATCTGATCACAGTGGACAAGAAGTTATTTTTCCTGCCACTCAATCAAACTTAAAACTGGAAATAAAAACTAGGCCAATCACATCTGGTCGATTGGAGAAATTTAACAATGTTTTGGTTGATAAATTGCCTTCCATTCAATTTAATTTAAGTAATCCAAATATTTTTTATGCAAATTTTTTTTCTATTATATCTGCAGAATATAACAAAATTTTTCAAATTAAAAATAAAAGCATTGGTATGTCATTTAAGTTTAGTGACTGGGCGACACCAGGTATAAGGAAAAGCAGAGAGAAACTTTTTGAACTTTACGAATTAAGGAATTATAAAATTAGCGATAAATTTAATGACTACGTCAAATGTTATTCGAAAACTTTTAAAAAAATTTGCATTACTGCTAAAGCCCTTTACATTAGTAATAAAATTAAGATGGCCGACAATAAAATAAAAGCAGTTTGGACTATTATAAATAATGAAACTGGCAAAACAAAACAGCGCGATAGTGATTACAAACTAAATTTAGACAAGGGGGCTGTAAGTTCTAATTTAGAGGTAGCTCAAGAATTTGAGAACTTTTTTGTTAATATTCCTATTAAAAACCACTGCATCGCTGAATTCCTCACCAATTCTTTCTGCGACAACACTCAAAAATCATGTTAAACCCTGTAACGCTGATTTTAAATTTGAACATGTAAATGAAAAAACAGTAATTAAAGCTTGTAGGGAAATTAAAGTAAAGGTTACAGAGGATTTATTTGGAATGTCAGTCAAAGTTTGTAGCTCGATAATTGACACTCTGGCGCCATATCTTGCCCTCATTTTTAATACATGTATAGATGAAGGAATTTTCCCTGACTTGATGAAATACAGTAAAGTAATACCATTATTTAAGACAGGTGATAAAGGCGATCCTAGTAATTTTAGACCTGTATCTATTTTACCTGTATTAAGTAAAGTTTTTGAGAAAATTATATTGAATCAACTTCTATCACATTTCAATAAAAATTTTCTTTTACATAATAAGCAGTTCGGCTTCACCAAAGGGCTCTCTACTACTGACGCCAGTGTTGCGCTTGTAAAGCATATTTTTAGTGCATGGGAAGATTCTTATGACGCTATAGGGGTTTTTTGTGATCTTTCAAAGGCGTTCGATTGTGTACAACACGAAACCTTATTACTTAAACTATATCATTACGGTGTCAAAAATAGTGCACTTAAACTTATCAAATCATATTTAGAACAGAGAATTCAGAAGATACACGTAAATGACTCATATTCACAGGGATCCCTGCTTAAAATGGGAGTACCACAAGGGTCTATTTTGGGGCCTTTTCTATTTTTAGTTTATATAAATGACTTACCACATGTGGTGCAGGATCTGACAAACATAGTATTATTTGCAGACGATACTTCTCTTATTTTTAAAATTTGTAGAAAAACTAGTAACTACGATGACATAAATAACACTCTTCAACTAATTCACAATTGGTTCACTGTAAATAACCTAGTACTGAATGCTAAAAAGACTAAATGTATTAAATTTACTTTGCCAAACGTGAAAAGTAATGAGGGTTTAGGAATTGTATTGAATAATGAACGGCTTGATTTGGTTGACAGTACAGTATTCTTAGGGATAACTATTGATGCAAAACTCCAATGGGGTCCCCATATGTCTTCTCTGTCAGGAAGGCTTAGCTCGGCTGCATATGCAGTTAGAAAGATTCGACAGTTAACTAACGAAGCAACGGCCAGATTAGTTTATTTTAGCTACTTTCATAGCGTTATGTCTTATGGTATCCTGCTATGGGGCCGAGCGGCTGATATTGAATCCATCTTCATTTTGCAGAAGAGAGCTGTTAGAGCAATTTATCAACTTCGCTGTAGGGACTCGCTTAAAAAAATATTTAAGAGGATACAGATTTTCACAGTTCCATGTCAATATATTTTTGCAAATATTATGTATGTTAGGAAGAATATCCATGACTTTAGTAAATATTCTGATATTCATGACCGTAATACAAGAAACAAGAATAATTTAGTTCTTCCTCGCTGTAGACTAGCTAAGGTTAGGACTTCATTCGTGGGGCTCTGTGTGCGCTACTACAACAAAATTCCTGATGATATTTTAAATCTACCGGACAAAAAGTTCAAATTTATTGTAAAGCAGACACTGTTTAAAAAAGCTTATTATAAGTTAGATGATTATTTAAATGACAAAGAGGCTTGGTGTTCCGATACTCCAGCACGGCATGAGAGACACATATTATAAGACATATTGTAAGACGTCGAAAAACGGTTTGAAAAAATCTTACTTCGAATAAATGATTTTGATTTGATTGATTGATTTATGAACCCACATATAATTGTAAATATATAATGTTAAGTTTTAAATATCAGGAAAATTATGTACATAGAATGAATCAACTTTTAAATACGCCTGCACAATTTATATTTATAATAAGTATAAAATATTGTTGAAAACATTGTTTTTTTTTTTTTTTTTTTTTATAATTCAAGGTGGATACGGGACCGTAAAATATCTAGATATTAAAATACATAGTTTCGATATCTGATATTTGAAATCGAAATCTGATTCAGATACGGTACTCAGAAAAAGCGATACGACCCATCTCTAGTACAAATGCTGTGCGTTATAATATGTGGACTGTATTGAGTTAACGGTACATCTCAATAAATAAATTCAAAACTGAACACAGACGTTTCAAAAAGTTTACAGTGTTCATCGTTATGGGGTCAGCATGTACGCCGTAGAGGGTGCGAAACGCATTATATTACGCACGTTCGTTTGAACGTATGTAAGTAATCGTTTGAGCGGTGATTATAACAATAAACTGCCGTTTTCATTGAGTAATGATTTATTAATAACATATAATCGTTTACTTATGACAACTAAACATTACAGAACAACACGTGACGATTAAAGCTAAAAGTTATCGACTCGAAGCGAAGGAGGAGACGCGAGCCGCGGCGGCTAGACGGCGGTGAGGAGGCGCATGAGCGCGGCGGGGTGCAGCAGCGCGGCGGCGGCGGCGGCGCGCGGCCAGCGCAGCAGCGCCAGCGCCGCCAGCGCGCCCACCACGCACAGCGCCGCCGCCGCGCGCGCCACAGCCGCCGCGCGCGCCCGCCCCGGCCCCCGCCGCCCCCCGCCCCGCCCCACGCGCCCCCCGCGCCCCACGCCCCACGCCCCTCCGCCGCCGCCGAGCAGCTCGCGGTCGCCGCAGGCGCCGCACGCGCGGCACCTGTCGGCGCGGCCGAGCGCGGGCGCGGGCCGCCTGCGGGGCTGCGCCTGCGCGGCGGCGGCCAGCAGCCGCAGCGCGCCGTCCACGTGGCGCCAGTGGCGCAGGTGCCAGAACGCGTAGGCGAGCGCCTCGCTGTCGCCGCGCCGCACCACGTGCTCGGGCGGCAGCGCCAGCGGCCGCAGCTCGAGCAGGTACGCGGGCACGAACGGGTTGAACTCGATCGCGCGCCGCATCGCCTGACCGTTCCACATTACTTCCATTCACAAATCGGACAACTCATCCGATTACAGTAATAATAACAGACTCTCGACACCGAAACTAGATCGTTACCTATATATCTTAGTACTCTTCAAATGTTAAAAGACATTCGACGAAAAGATTTAACCCAAATTTACCGAATGCTACCCGAATTAGATTCAGCGATCGACCTCTATGCCAAAAGTAAAATTACTCAACCGGACCGATTGTCCCAGGCAAAAAAAAAACTCGTCAACAACTTTCGGCATTGCGCTCCAAATAACATTTAATTTTTTTTACATATAGACGTAACATGGTTATTAGAGATGATCTTCGTTTTGTAGATGTCCATCTTGAGACCCACCCGTTAAGATCTACTATTCTATCCCGCCGACAAACGCCTTCTCCGTGCCGCCACCTACCTCGAGCGCGGCCAGCTCGAGCGCGGCGCGCGCCGGCGGCTGTGCGCCGAGCGCCGCCCTGGCGCGCAGCAGCGCGGCCGAGTAGACGGTGCAGGCCGAGCGCCACGCCGCCGCCTCCTCGTAGCGCGCCAGCACGCCCTGCGGCGCGCACAATTCTCTCGGGTCAATTCCAAACATATACTCGACATCGCAGGCTGTACATTTAGGGGAAACGACGTTTTCTTTTTTATTATATCTGCAAAGCTATTTATTGCGATGTGCTTAGAACGAAGTCTGAACGGCGTCTCAACATAAGCCCTGTCTTGTGTCGTTCCAACAAATCGTGGAGTGTGCGAGGCAGAGCGCGAGACTCGCCTGCACGTCGGCGTAGGCGCGCTGCTCGAGCAGCACCTCGATGAGGTTCTCGTGCGTGGCGAGCGCCGAGAGCGCGGGCGGCGCGTCGCGCGCCAGCTCGCGGAACATGCGCGCCGCGTCGCGCAGCCGCCCCAGCCGGCGCGCGCACATGGCGGCGCGCCGCTTCACGTGCGCCAGCACGGCGGCGGCGCGCCTCGCCCCCGCCGCGCCCCCGCCCGGCCCCGCCGCCGCGCGCCCCCGCCACGCCGCCTCGCCCGCGCGCCACGCGCGCCGCAGCACGCGCTCCGCCTGCGTATTATTTTATTGCGATTGTTGACAGCCCTATACGCTTAACCTACCTTTCAAAAACATTGCCCTTTTGCTGTAGAAATATCCTGTGTTGTAAAGGCGTTTTTACCTATATACCATATAATTATATGAAAAAAAAAAGAATTATATGCGTAAATGTGTATAAATATAATTAAAAAAATATCATTCATTTTTTTTAAGTTAGATAATTAAAAAAACGTCTACATTTTGTTCATACTTGAGTAATATGTAATAATTTTATAATTAAACAAAAACGGTATAAAACGAAAAAATAATATAAAATAGCACAGTTAATTACTTTCATTTTGCTTGCTCTATTTTATGTAACTTAATCAGAATTGTCTCGTGTGGGAATCGAACCAACAACACCGATACCTCAACAATTGCGCCACGGAGTCATCCAACGAAGCATTGGGAAAGGCCTAGGATCAGCATGAGCCAAGTGTTGAGGAAATCCTCTCATCTATCGTCCAGCGTCAGCATCGAATCGGAAGAAGGGCGGCGCACCTCCAGCACGGTGGGCGCGTCCTCCTCGGCGAGCAGCAGCAGCGCGGCGGCGCAGTCGGGCCTCTCGGCCAGCGCCGCCCGCGCGGCCGCCACGCGCGCCGCCGGCTCGCGCTCCCGCCACGCGCGCGCCATGTGCGCCTCGGCCGCCTCCGCGCCCCCGCCGCCCCCCCCGCCCCCGCCCCCCCCCTCCGCCTCGCCCTCGCCGCCGCCTGCCACTGCGCTCCGCTGAGCCCCACCCGCTGCAGCCCCGCACGCGGGAGCGGTGCGAGCCGACCTTACCGAACCACGCCTGGTGCTCCTGCGCCGACAGGTTCATGTCGTAGTAGGTGAGGGGCGCGCGGCGCGCGACGCTCCACAGCCGCCCGTACTCGGCGCCGCGCAGCAGCGACATCGGGTTGCGCCACACCTTGCACTCGGCGGGCGCGGCGCCCGCCGCCGCCGCCCCGCCGCCCCCTGCCGCCCCGCCGCCCCCTACCGCCCCGGCGCCCGCGCCTCCTCCCGCGGCCGCCGCCGCGCCCCCCCCCCCCGCCTCGCCCTCGCCGCCGCCCCCCGCGCTCGCGCCGCCCCCGAGCCACGGCCCAAGGTGCGCCAGCGACACCTGGAACGTGTTTTGGTGTTAATTCACTTTATTACTATTGCACCTTGGTGTTTGGTACAACAGTGAACCGAATTTAACCCATAAGTCCATTCACTGCTGCACCAAACATCATTCTTAATCAATTTTTACCTAAAGCTGCAGGAAGTCAGTTCTGGTTCAATCATCAGGCAAACCTAGCACTCTCAAAATATCATGTAGTCATAGTCAATAAATTTTCTAATAAATTCTATTATCATTTATATCTTAATATCATCATAAACTTGCACCAGGAATTAGCCCCAACACTTGGGCTCCGGAGATACATTGAGAAAGATGATGATTTTTTTCAATCCAAAAATTTCAATATTCAAAAATTAATTTAGAAGTATAAATATAACTGCTTTATTTATTTTCATTAAAGTTTTTATACTAGTTAGTCAATTTTAAAAGTTCTCTAAATATAGATATCTTACTACTATTAGGCAAGTTAAAAATGCATAATTCAAAATGTATCCTCCATCAACCATTAGCCAACTTATACATTTAAATATACAGGTTTTTTATTCTGCTGCCTTCACTCAATACAACTTAGGTTGCAAAGCAAAATGTATTTTAAACACCGACTGGAGCTCAAACTATTAAATATTTACACAAGAACTAACCAGTTGCTATTATTTAACATTTGTCATAATATTTGTACAATGAGTACAATTTCCTTTCCGGACATGTAAAGTTATGTGGTTTGATAGACTTGGAGTCATATGAAATAAATAAAGGCAACTTTTAATAGCTAAAAAGACTATTTAATGCAATAAAAACAAAATAAATCCATGTATTGTTAAAATTTATAGTCATCCATACACATTTATTAAGCTTTACACTGTGTTAAATTTATAAATTTCATTAATTTTAAATAAATAATCTATACTATTTAATACATTAAAGTGGTGATACAATAGTGTAATAAATTACAGGCAGGTTATTAGGCTATTGTTATTAGGTCTTAGCTGTGGTAATGACCATGGTCCTTCCGGCTAAATACCACCACCTCACAAAAGACCAGGGTGAAGCTGAAGTGTTATACTTCACCATTTCTCTTTCTTCTAGAAGTGTTAAGATGAAACCCCACGGATCTAGAGTTCATTGGCGGTAGGACCACGCAACTGTATTCACTGTTGCACAAATGGGCAGGTCCGTCCGGGTTAGTACCACGACCACATAGAAGACCGGCGTAAAGTAGAAGTGTTACACTTTCTCACATTAAATTATATTTGTAGTGTAAGTGACTCGGACTGAAGTAACACTTAGAAGAGAGGGATGATTATTAACTTAGCGTCAGAAAAGAAAACATATACATTTACACACATATACCTGCTCAATGAACGATGTGCCATATTTACGAAAGTACCACCACTCGAAAATGAGAATTAATCCGGAGATGAGAGAAGAGGTGCCGGTTAGCGCAACATAAAATTTAGGCGTCAATGCGCCTAAAAATGTTGCTGAATCCCACATCACGTCGTAATATTAAGGCTTATTATATATATTTATTATATTATTATATTGATCCTTAAATCTCTAATTGGAATTCATCTTTGCCTCTAGGGAATGGATCAATACCCATGAAACTTGACACATAACAGTAAATAAATAAAATGTTTATTATCGAACGTCGAGGTATGACATATGGAGGGTTGAAGTAAGGAGGACCATCCCGTAAGGGGGATTAGTCGAAAAAGTGCCCACTTGTAAACAGCAAATTATTGGTCGAACTCTCACCGAAATAGCGCTAGTGTAGCAAGTGAAAATGATATGAACTTAGCAGTTATAAGCAGAGTGAAGTGTGCTATATAGTGTGTTATATCGTTGAATATAAATTTTTATTTCTTCATTTATATTTTAGTATATTGTACTGTTAATATATTGTATTGTTAATAATAAATATTTATTGATCGCCTGTTAATTCCATTTTGGTGATTTCTACATTTAGATAATAATTATAAAACCTCTAACCATTTTTCAGCATGCGATTGTCTAAATGATTGAGAATTTGCTTGTTACAATTTTAATTGTTTTTTTTTTTTTATTTTGGTAATTACTTAATACTATATTCTATTTGCTATTTACAAATAATTGGGGTACTTGAAAACACTGTATAATTTTAATTTTATTCCATACTCATTTTTGTCTATATATTACAATAAAATTTAAAAAATTGCGCTGTAACAAAGCGGAAATGTTTCTTTCCTTTTTTTATTTAGTACTCTAATAATTTGTGGCGCTCTATTTAAAATTCTTCCACTTGCTACTATAGCGCCACCTTAATTTGCTCCGGACCTTTCCTTTCAACGGACACTTTTTAATACACTGAGATGGTCCTCCTTACTTCAACCCTCCATATTATGACATATAAATTATAAAGATATAGATAAACTTAAAACTATCATAGCACAGACTATGTAAGAACTAAGAATTTCAAGATTGATGAAGAACTACGTACTGTACTTTATATATATTTAAGTAGGGTCTGGAGTAGTATCTAAAATATGTTTTTATTGAAAAAATGACAACATTACAGCAAAAAGAGATTAGCGTTCCATTGATAAAGTAATATATAGATAAAATCTAATGTGGATCTAATTACTACATTTTCGGTGGAAACTGGAAGAATTTTGCGGGCAAATGACCCGCGATCCCGTCCTGCGAACTCGCGAGACTATTTCAGAGTATCGAATTCTTATCAATTTTGATATATTTTTAACGCAACTCTGGTTTCGTGTTTAATGTTACTATATACTCTTTGCCTGCTCCTCATTCATCGTTGATTTAAATTTTATAGTGCTATCTCTTCACTTAAGATTAAACATTTAAATTTATAGAAAAAAGAACGAAAAGTTTCTCGCAACTGCGAAAATCGAACCCACGTCTTCTGGGTACACGCCTAAACGCTTTAACCACTAAGCTAAACGAATGACTTCCCAACCGATGAAATTCTCAACGTCTTTTATCTACATTGTTTTTTTTTTTTCGAATTTTGGGCAGTGCTATTGTAACATCCTCTATAGCAATTTCAAATATCATTTTACAACGAAATTTGAATTTAAATTAAAATTTTATTGCTAATCTCTGCACTTAAGGTGGAACATTAAAATTTATAGAAAATGGGCCGAAAAGTTTCTCGCCAATGCGAGAATTAAAACCACATCTTCCGGATTTCTTTTCTCCACAATTTAATATCCCATCTAGTTTTTTTGTTTTTTTATCACATAAAAAAAATTTATCAATTTTGATTCCTTGCGCCAAGCCATTTTTCCATTAATCGGTGGACGCTATTCAATGCGAGCGGAATTTTAATTATAAAACATCATAGCACAGACTATGTAAGAACTAAGATTTCAAGATTGATGAAGAACTACGTACTGTACTTTATATATATTTAAGTAGGGTCTGGAGTAGTATCTAAATTTGTTTTTTTGAAAATTAAAAAAATTGCGTTCCAGATAAGTTATAGTGGTTTCTAATGTGGAAATTACTACATTTTCGGTGGAAAAAGAAATGGGACCCGCGATCCCGTCCTGCGAACTCGCGAGACTTTTCAAGATCGAATTCTTATTTTCGTCGCAACTCTGGTTTCGTGTTTAATGCTATACTCTTTGCCTGCTCCTCAGCCGTTTGATTTTTAAAGAAGTGGCTATCCGAGCGTCAGGCCGCGAATGCCGAAGACGTTTTTTGGGTTCGATTCCCACAGCATTTTACGACGAAATTTGAATTTTTAAAATTTTACTTTTTGCACTTAAGGTGGAACATTGAAAATGTTTTTAATTCAAATTATCTTTGTTTTTTTATCACATAAAAAATCTTATCTGTATTATTAAACATTTCATATTGTCATGTGAATCGTTGTTTATTTATTCCCATTTTCCTTCGTTAAACACATAGGGATTCGACCTTTAAAAAACTCTATAAACTTATTCTAGTAGGAATACGTTCATTGTATTCGTCACTGTATTCTTTTTCGTGTTACTGTATTCTTTTGTTACCCTATCCATAAGTATGAGGGCCATTGGACCAATATAAGTTCAATCTATGTAGAGAGAGGGAGTGGGATGCCGCTTTTTCTCTATGCACCGAGGCCCTAGCTCACCTATCTACGCCACTGCATACCACCGTTGAACTATCGCATACGTTAAATAAGTTGTATAAACATTTTTATTTTATATTTTTATATAAACATTAGTAGATTTACAAAACATGTCCGCCACTGGAGGCCTAGAAGCTTTATGCGTAAGCATTGGCTCCCACGGCCTCTGGGCAGTGGACTCGAGAGTTTTTTGCACTTTTCTTTCCAAGGAAATTTCCTACGAAAGTTTTTATTTCTTATTTACAGGACAGGGATAAATGTTGAGAATGGCTAAAAATGTTGAGAATGGATAAGAAATAAATTTCAGTAACTGTTTATCAAGATTTGTGACATGGCTCTCCTTAGTACTGCAAAACTTTAAGGGAATTGAAATTTTAGGAACAAATTATATTATACAGTAATGTATGGATTTTTATAGTTGTTACTTGTTAATTTTATTTCATTTTTTGCGTTTTTATTTATTAAAAAAATATTTTGTATAGGAATTTGCTACCCCGGCGCTAAATAAAAACATATGCAAATCTTTTTAATGAAGCTAAGTGACCTACGATACAAATTACATTTATTTCAAAGAAAAAAAAATTTAACAAAAAATATATTCATATTTTAAATTACAGTGATATAAAACTATGCTGAAAAATAAAACCAAAAAAAATATAAAACTTTAAAAATGTATTAAATGGTAAATTAGATCTGCAGCTCATATGATATTACAACATTAAATCTATCTAAAATTACACATTATGTAATAAATCTAGCCCACGCAGCATGGTGCAGAGAACGCTAGCTGCATTTCCTCGCTGAACAGTTATGCTTTATCTTTGAGCGAGAAAAGAACCAGCTCTCCTGTTACCAGCCATGGCGTTTAGCCTAGGACGTTAACTTTTTAGAAAATTCTATGTACGGGGACCCAAAAGACCCAAAGTTTCAACAGCAAATGCCACAAATACATAATCTAAACATAGAGACTTACATTTGCGCGACTTACATAATTCAGATACCTCCGATGCCACCCCGGCTCTAACCGAAGTACTTACCCCTTAGATGAGAGACTTTTTTTTTAATAAAAAACGAAATCTCTTAAATACGGGAATGTTCGACACCAAAATGCCAAAATAGCTTGGGAGTCTGCCGGTTACAACGACTAATTTTAAAAATTAATATATATTTCACTTTCACACGTGTTATTTTGCCATTGGCTATTTATGTTCAAATTAAAATAAGAATGCAAATGTTGTTTTGTTAATTATTTCTACTATTTATAATGAAAAGTAATCACTAAAAAATTAAACACTATCTTTGAATACAATACAGGGTTCTAGTGGGCTTTTGAAAATTTTATTAGGGTTATGTAAATGTATTTCTTCTTGATTTGAGGGGCATGTTTTTTTAGTAGTTGGTAGAACTGGCCAAGCCAAATGTCAGAAATGTCATTATTTCTGGTCAACAACTGTCAAATTGACATTGTCAAACTGCATTCCTTTCAAAATCAAAATCAATGTCCGGCCCAGCCACCAGCCAGCAGTGTTTTACGTAACACAGTCTGAATAAGCTCTATCTTTTAAAAAAGCCTCAAAATGTTGGGTCGTTTGGGAAGAAAACAAGTTGAAATGATAACTTCATTCATTCCATCGGCGATGGCGTTCGGAGGCACCGCGTTTGTGGGACTACTATATTTCACGGATTGGAGGGTGTTCGTGGCTAATATTCCCTTCTACGCAGGCAAGTTCGAGGGGGAGGAGAAGGCCGAATAATCTACGCCAAAGGATATTTAATGTAAAATATGATTGCTAGTTGTAATTATAACTTATAGTCACCTCTCATGGTTTTTATTTATTTAACCTATATTTTATTTTTGTATCAGTTAATATTCTAGTCGTTCTTAGTTCAAGCTTTTTGTAATGTTCTTAATAATTGTATTCTCCTTGGTAAAGTTAGTGTCAGTGCATAAGATTCACTGCTAAGCAATGACCTTTTTTTGTGTAAAGGTAGTAAGTGAGCGGACGGTTCTCCTAATCTTAAGTGATAACCGCCACCCATTGACATTTGCAACACCAGTAGGGTTGTAGATTCGTTGCCACCTTTTAATAAAGTGGGCTACCTCAATCACCAGAGGGAACCCAAAAGCGTAACACTTCAGACTGGTCTTCTGTGAGACCACAGTTCCTAAATGGGTGGACCTACACATTCATGCAACAATGAAGGCTTACATGGCCCTTCCATAGATAAAATGACTCTGGACATTACGGTTTTATTAATTCCCCCAGTACTTTAAATTTTTTATCTTCATTAATAACTTCTTCACATTTTTTTTATGTGAGAAAACTGCAAACAAGCTGGCGATTCACCTAATGTTAAGTAATAACTGCCGCCTGTGGACATTTGCAACACCCGTAGGGTTGCAAATGCGTTGCCACATTTAAATAAAGTGGGCCCCGGCTACCTCACTCACCAAACGAAATACACAACTGTAACTGTAATACTTCTACTTTAAGCTAGTCTTCTCTGAAGTTGTGTACATGTACCTGTACAGACCTGCACATTCATGTAACAGTTTTGCGTGGCCCTACCACCGTAAGTAATCCACATAAAGGGTTTGTTTGTGCCCTGATCCAGAAGAATATTTCAAAACAAAACCTAAGTAAAACCTAATTTACTGAAATGTAAGTTTTATGGGAGCAATGAACAAACAGTAACATTTTTTAAATTTAATTTAGTTTATATTCTGTATTGTATAAAAATAAAATTTATGTGTATTGTATTACCATAAAATAATTCTTCAAACAATTCTATGCAATTCTTCTTTCTGATGTAATTGAATCCAATACAACCACAATTTCCAGTTTTACATTGCTTGAAGGATACTTTTGCAATTTATTTTTCATTTTAAATTTGAGACCTGGACTGTTTGCTGGCCAGTGCATATTAGAGATTCCTTTAGACTTAAGCCAAGCGTTTGCATATACCTTGGCATTTGGTAGGAAACCCCATCTAATTCAAAGTTGGCACTTCCATATTTCAAACTAAATGGGTGGTATTATATTCTTTTTAATAATGTTTTGGTATTACACTGCATTAACATTCCCTTCTACAAAATACAAATGCATGTCATTAAAGATCCAGGAAGCCTAACTTTTCTCTTAATACAGTTTCAGAAATTATTTTTTGTAATATTTATTTTCAATGATGTTTTTTCATTCATCACCATCAGATACTTAAAATTTAGTTTCATCCTTCCATATTATTTGACATCATTTTTGCCAATAAAAAATACTGAGACATCTAAGTGCTTGCAAGTGAATTTCCTCCTTTTCTTTTCTGTAATGATGTGGGTAAAGGTTTCTCTTTGGTGTGAAGTGCATAACCTATTCTTTGTGGATTAGTACAGATCAGCAGTAAAATGATTTTCAGCTTCACTTGTTATAAGAGGGTGGTCTGGGTCAAACATGAAATTGTGCAGTTATACTTGTGATGCCAAACGATTGAATAGATAGCAGATTGCCAGTAAGAGTAATCTTTGGCAACTGGGTTGGCAAATTATTCACTATTACTATTACTCGAACTGGCCAATGCAGAATGGGTCGACCCCCACTAGAGTGAGTGAAAACCTACGCAAATGTGCAGGAAGTCGTTAGTCGATGATGATAATGATGCAAGACCCCTGGCTGCTGCTGATTTTATACCTAAATAAGTGTGTATAATTACATCAAAAAAAATATATATATATAACAAAAAGAACAAGACCGCAGAGTTTCTTGCCGGTTCTTCTCTGTGCAGGTCTAGTTTAGTGAACCGGTGGTAGATTTTTTGTTGACGTTCAATAAGACTTTAGTTAGGCCTATATTGAATAAATATACTTTGATTTGACTTTGATGTTTGTGTTTTCTTTACATAACACATGTATGTAAGTGAATTAATAATAAGTAACAGATTTAATTTTAATACATACATATATTGTAAGTATAAGTGCAAAGGATTTTGGGTGTGACAACTTCTTAAAGGATATACATAGGTCGGTATATACTTTATATACATTGTATTTTTTTTAATGTTGCCAAGCGACAGACGGTTCACCTGGTGATAAGTGAATACCGCCGGTCATAGACATCTGCTACATCCGAGGATTGAAGATGCGTTGACAACCTTTCGAAAATTTTGCTTGGCTACCCCACTTATCAGACGAAACGCGAAAGTATTTATTAAGCTTCCACTTCACGCCGGTCTTCCGTGAGGTCTTGGTACTAACCCAGACGAGCCTGCCCATTCAAGTGACAGCCGAGGCTGCTGCGTGGCCCTACCATAGTTTTGAAAACATTGAAAGATGAATCGATTACAACAATTTTATTCAACAGCTGATTAACATAACTTTGTCCTACTTAAATAACAAAGTAAACTATTTATTCCAATTTGTGCAACTAAGATGTCTTAGGCTGGCCATTTTAATCTACTGTTACAAATTTCGTGACTTCATAAGTTTAATTATAGATAAAAAAGACACTATTACATATCATTTTTTCATGTTTCATGGGTAAAGGGAGTCAATGAACTAAGTTATAAATAGTACGCAAAGTAGTAATATAACACCCTAACTTGCGATATTGATTATTATAAATAATTATCATTGCAATGAATGTGCAGGAAATTGTAATATTAATATTTTTTTTTCATATAAATGTAATTTGACCTATCATAATTATGGCTTCTTTGCTTTCTTCGCACAATAGAGCAAGATACCAGGGCCACCAGACGTCATAGCGTCTGTAAACCAATACAGCCGATGGAAAGTGTTTGGGAGTATTAACGACTTAGTTTTAACGATATCGTCTAAAATATACTTAAAAATTAGCTTGCAGAATTTACGTGAGGTAAGTCATGTTTTTATGTACCTGAATTACCTGATACCTGGAAATTGGCTCACTTACCAAGATGGCAGGTAGGCATGCGATCGTAGCACATAATAACAATACTCATTTCGTTCGTTAGAAAATACGTAACGTCTGGTGGCTCACGATCCCAGCATGGACTATAATTATCGGACATTGTTCCCAACTTCTTTTACTTTTGATTTTTACAGCGTAGACCGCGAGAAGATTTAGCATTAGTTAATTTAATCTTGAACAGAATTTCGAGTTTAATATTCCACTAATATTGAGTATAAGTAAGGTCCTCGCGAAACATTATTTTTCATTCTTTTGAGGTCTGGGAATGAAATTTTCATGAGAATCGTTCCGTTCGAATTCGGAACGTAAGACCCGACACGAGGACGGCTAGGAGCGGTTATGAAGTGAGTTAGGCCCAAAACGGAGTCGCGGCTAGAAGCGCAGCTCGTTGTCGCCGCTGCCGGCCTCGTCCTCGTCGTCGGCGGGGCCGCGCTCGGCGGCGACGGCGGCGAGGGCGGGGAGGGGCGAGGGGGGGGGGGGGCGGGGCGGCGGGCGCGCAGGCGGGGCGGCCCTTGGCGCGCGAGCCGGGCCGCTCCACGCCGTGCGCGTCCACGCACCAGCACACGCCCAGCGCGGCGTGGCACTGCCGCGGCAGGTAGAAGCCGCGCGCGTCGCACGCCGGCACGTAGGCGCCGGCCGCGGGCCAAGGGTGCGCGCGCGCCAACGCCGCGCACGGCCGCGCCGCGCGCCGCAGGCAGCCGCACCACGCGGCGCGCGACAGCCCTGCGCCGCCCCCCCGCCCCCTACCCCCCCCCCCCCCCCCCCCCCCCGCCCCCCCCCCCCCCCCCCCCCCCCACCGCCCCCACCGCACGACGCCAGGAACGGCCGCAGGCAGCGCTCGCGCTCGTCGTGGCCTGCTCGGAAACGATCTTTCATTCTCAGAACATTAATATTTATATGATGCGATTCATAATACATAACTCTTAAACCGGCCAATTTAAACTGTACGCAAGAAGTTGTTTACTGAGTGACGTATAAATGAGTAATCGGCCGCGGCTTCGAAGTGAACAGTGCTTGCCGAGGGCGTCGTCTACTGTCTACTGACTACTCACGCAGGGCGTAGAGGTCGTCGTGCGAGAGCAGGCCGTCGCCGGCCACGTCCAGGTGCGAGAACATCCAGCGCACTTCAGGCTTACAATCCCGCGGGAACCCTGCACAGTCGACGACACACGTTATGGTGCACGCAGTTTTGATTATATTACACGATACTATAATTCATTACACGATACGAAAAAGAAGGCCATTCTCAATTGGGCTGTATTTTTTTAATGTTTTTTACCTCGGAACTTTCGAGTGGATGAAACGATCTTGATGATTCTTTTTTTATTTAAAAGTTGATGCTTCCCGTGTAGTCCCATTTGGTCCAGTTCTTACAATATCATCCATGACAAAACCATGTAAGTTTCAAATTTGCATTAAGTACCTATGTGCGCGACAAACAGACGAATAACTCAAAATCACGCCAACTGATGTCGATGATTTTTTATTAAAAAAATGTATTTCAAAGATTCTGGTTAGGTTCTGACTAACCTTTCTTGAATCCATGACAAAGTAACGAAACCCTTCTATTCTTAGGAGCAAATTAATGATACTCGGCCGAATCTTATATAAGCTATCCGGATATTTGACACACCTACCGTAACGTTGTTATAATCAAGTAATTCGTAGTAGTTGAATATGATAATCAAAAAACTCCTTAACGTCCAACAGTAAAGGTGCAAGCCGTTTTCTCATACGAGCTGCGTCTTTGCTAGATTTACTCATACTTTAAAATAACTAAGTATTAAAATTAAATCACTAAAAATAAAACAGACGACTTCAAATTACACTGACTCTAAAAATCATACTATATGTAATATCATCAAATCTTGGAAATCTAACCAATATAACCTCACCTCTAGCGAAATTGACAATTTTTGTCGTCGGTGTCCTTGTTCACCACGGGTACTATAATATAATGGTCGTACACCATAACACCTTGCTAAAAAATAGAAAGAAGCTAAGCGACAATGAATACAGCAGTTATCTAATAAATAGGTTCAAAGATAGTGGTATTTTTTTAATTATTATATCCAATCCACCTAAATTGAGTAACAAAGTTATGAGAATGATTTTATGCTCAGATCAGACATTGCTTGGCACCGACAGCAAAAATTGTTAATTTTTGTTGGAGGTTATGTTATATAGGGAGTTCCAATTTTTGATTATATTAAATTTAGTATAATAGTTTTTTTGGAAATATTTTATTTAAAAAGGGTGCATTGGGTGGGTGGACCTTGCAGCGGCGGAGGCGTGCCGGCCGCCTCCTCCATCAGCACCGAGAACCAGTCCAGCAGACGATCCGCCAGACGCTCCAGCTCGCACCGCTCCCCCCCTGCGAACACCCACATTCGTAGACCAATAGTATATTTATCTGTTATATAGTATCCATAGTACCAGCCTTACTTAGTTTGGGACTAGATAACGTTGTGTAAACTAGTTGGTCGATCGGTGATATGTGGCGTGACGTACCTCTAGCGCCGGCCCGCCTGGCGCCGCTCTTGGCCGCCTGGCGCCTGCCGCCGCCGCCGCCGCGCTGCAACAGACAGAGACAGTAGACACGCGTCTCGCTCGTCTCTTGTATCTTGTATTAGCTGATGTTTTTGCTTTCAGTCCCTAGACTCTTAAAGCTTCATCAGACGCAGAACCGGTGGGCTAGCCAGAACCCTTGGTTTGGGCCCTCTGCTGTGGGTTTTATGCGTGCGTTTAACTATGGTATGTCATTTAAGGGTCATCGAGGTTGCGGTTCGAACCGGGACCCCGATGGCCGTCGAACGCGGGTGTACCTTGTGTACGCGTTGTGTTGGTCTCGCCGTGCTCGGAGGCGAGGGCGAACTACTGTGTTTAGTGTAGTGTTACCCGGCGGGTCCCCCGACGGTGGGTCCGACGTATCTAAGTCCCCTTCCCCGACCGGGTCGATGAGGACGTTTCGCGGGCGACGCTTGATGACGTTCGCGTTTGTGTCTGGTTGCGCTTCCCACCAGAGGGTTGGGATGATGTTCGGCTCTATCGAAGAACCGTTTGGTCAGGTCTTTAAAATATTCGCGAATCGTCGGGAGCAGACTCCCGACGAATCGCTGTACAGGTCGACGTTGCGCTGATACCACTGTGCACCGGTTGCGCGGCGGATGAACTTATTTTGTACTATTTGCAACTTGTACAAGCGAGTAGGGTGCGTGTGGGCGAAGGTCATGCATGCGTAGGACATAATAGGACGTACGTAGGTCTTATATAATAATAATTTGTGCCTTAAGGGCATTTTACTTTTAGCGTTAGTTAAATTGTGTAGCCGGCCGGAGACGAACGCGGCTCTATTACGAACGTTATTAATGTGCGTAGTAAATGACAAACGCGAGTCGAAAGTGACTCCTAAGTATTTAACCTTTTTCGGAGTCAACTAGGGCTACTAAAGCGCTATTAGGTATAACTAACGGCGGTAGAGATTCGTGGGGGTGTGCTTTCAGTCTGCGGGCCAACCGCCAGTAGGCGGTGTGCGATGGCTCGATGTTCTCTAGGAGAGTGTCCCACGTGGTTTGTCGGTGTTCCGATACGCGATCTTTGACTTCTAGCTGAAGGCGTCGAAGTAGGATTCGGTTCGATTCCGATCGGTATCGGTCGAAAGCACGTTTGGCTGCATTTTTTTGTCTAATTAGCAGTCGCAGGTCGGGCGGAAAGTTAAACCGTCGGTCGTTCGACAGTTTCACCGTCCGTTCCGAATCTGCGACTGCAGAAGAAATGGTTTCGCAGGGACTTGCTATCACTCGATTTGCGTCATCGAACGTAGCTATCGTCTCGGGTAGGTCGACTATGTCCTGGGGGCCCGAGGCCTTGAGTCTGACCTCAAGACGATGCCAGTCCACTATGGTATTGGTCGGAGGGAGCTCGCCGGCGTTCTGGCCCAGTTTACACAGGACGGACCTGTGATCTGAACGTAGCTCTTGGGTTGTCTCTATCGACTCGATCCGAGATCGAAGCGAGACCTTGAATAACAAAATATGTAGGATGCACTCACGTCGCGCAGCCGCCTCTGTGGCGGCGGGGGCGGGGGCGGGGGCGGGGCCGCGCAGGGGCAGAAGCCGCGGCAGGCGAGGCGCACCCTGGCGCCGCGCACGCAGTTGTGCAGGTCGAGGCGGCACAGCGACGAGTAGGTGCGGTTGTCGGAGCCGCACACGAACTGCGCGCCGCCCGCGCCGCACCCCACGCACCTGCCGTATGCACGCCCCTTGCTCACACGCCTGCTTCCCATCAGGCCGTAATAATTCCCACAGTAACATGTTTCTGTGGTGTTAATAAGAAAGCAAAAAGCGTTCATTGTTATTTAGCGAATTATAGAAATCGCCGTCGGAGGACCCGATGAAAACCAATTTGCTTTTAACTTATTTATTAGAAACTTACAATTTAAACTATAACTAAACTATAGCTAGCCTAACCTACGTCTGATTCTGATCGATGCTAGATCTAGAATGAATGTCTTACTAAAAATAATCGTTAACAAAAGTTCTCCAATACGGTAAGCAGCGGTGTCGACTGGCAATGTTTCCATGTACGTCAGGTATATTGTCTGTCGTGGAAAATAGCCGTGTCACCTGATGACGCTTCCATGAACGTCAACGCGGCCTGGATGTGTAATCAGATTACGTGGTTTTAGCAAAAGTTGACTAGTCGGATTGCGTCACAATGTTGCGAAAAAGACGCTGCTTAGGTGCACTTTTCTATGGAACGGATATGTAACAAGCGACAACAGTGCATTCCGTCATAAATAGATGTGATTATTCTGTTTTTATACCAAACGTATAGGTTACACTCTCGCCCATCTCCACCGCGCCTTAACTTGCCTCGGCTGCTTGGGCCGTCGGAGGCGCCACTATGCATACCCGTTACCGTTGCATTACCGTTCAGGTGGCCGGTCGAGCGACTGGTCGAGCGACTGGTCGAGCGCCTGGTCCAGATAGTTGTCGGCCTCGTTGTCGGCGTCGAGGTCCACGTCTGCGCGCTGTTGGTGCTGTTGTCGCTGTTGGTGCTGTTGGCGCTGTTGGTGCTGTTGGCGCTGTTGGTGCTGTTGGTGCGGCGGGCGGTCGGGCGCCGCCTCGTAGAACACGTCGTCCTCGGCGTCGCCGTGCTCGCGCCGCGCGGCCACTATCGTGTCCCTGCACCGCAGGACTTCCTTACAGCCTTTCGAGGGGAATGGTCTAGCCGTACATCATTTTCGTGCGTCCTCTGGAAGGACTACTTTTGCTGACATAGTCCTGCTTCTTTCAATACTGCTAACGTAACGTAAGATGTTACCTTATTAGTTGTTTAAATCTACTAGTTCTTTCGTTATCTTTTTTATGCAGTGCGAAGAATTCATAATCATGAAACATGTATCGAACTATGCGACCACAAAAAATATATTTGCATTACACCGTCCGTGCAAACAAGGAAAGATTTTTCTTTTTTATAAAGTACCGAATTGAAATGTAATTGGATCGCGAGCCCTTACCCTCTCCGCAAGACGTCCTTCTTCGTAGCGCATTGGGCGGTGAAGGCGTCACGCAGCAAGCACACCTCCCGTTTCTTGCAGATCAGCTCCCGGCAAAGAGGATCTGCAAGTGGGCGGCTCCCCATTAGTGACTGGAGCATCGAGAAAATTGCCTTCAAAACAAGAACACATGATCTGATCTCACTCTGCGGGTCGTAGATATAGCGACGCGGCCGTCGCGGACGCGCCGTCTGCGAATCCTGGCAATAGAGCAAACAGCACATGTGATTCTGTGCAGATATACCTACCTGAATACAAATCGATTCGAAAACATTTGAATAGCTTAAATACAAGTTGCTTTCAAAGCGATAATACCGCCTATTGTTTTATGTTTTTGGTGAACAGTAAAATATAAATAAAATTAATAAAGACACTATTTTTCACATCTTTTTATAGTGGTTGAGCCCGTAATAAATTCTGTAGCATGATTTGCCCGACTTGTTCGGAGAAATTCCGCGGGCTCAGAGAGCAGGGCCGGATTTAGAGGAGGGCAACTGAGGCAACAGCCCCGGGGCCTCCACAGAGTAGGGGCCCCAACAATAGAGACTGAAAAAAAATCAAATTCAGACTTGTAAACAATAGTAAACAACTTTCTTTTCATATTTTTTTCGCGCTTTCCTTTTTTTACCTGCAGTACTTTGTACAAACATGATTACATTAAATATTAACAGAAATCAATAGAAAATAATATGGGGCCAAGGGGCCTCCACTCCTTTGTTGCTCCAGACCTTTAAATCTGGCCCTTGAGGAGAGTGCCGTGAATTAAGATATCTAACCTATTATTCATCTTCATCTGCAAGCTCTCACAGCTTGTAATTCTATAGGGATACATAGAGACAGCTACGGCTGAATATAAAAAGATAATATGCAATATGAGATTTTTTCCTAAAATGGAAAATAAATGGACATAGGGCAAACACGAATCTGTAAATATAAAAAATCACAACATAAAGCATGATATCCGGATTGTTTTTATAATGGTAAATTATACTGTATAATTCGTACTTTTTCATTATTTAGAGTTCTTATTTTCTTATTTTTATTGAAGTTATAAATATTTTGTAATACCTACATAATAATTATGTATTACAGTTAAACCCAAACGTAGTAATTAGATTCTAATAACGATCACTTTTCTGGTCGAGTTTGAGAGAAGATAACCAAAAATCTTATTAAGGTATTTAAATTGACTGAACTATTGGCGATTCTCGGTAAATTCCCTATGAATTGGGTTTTAGGGAAGGACTAGCATAGGCATGGCATTTATTCATCCTTTGTTGACTTTTGGAAAGTAATTAAAAAAAACTACGTAAAATTTTAGCAAGGTACTACTTCGATATAGCAAAAAAAAAAATTAGAGATAGAGAAAAATCAGTAAGGAATTAATGGAATATAAGATTTATTAAAAAAATATTATTTCATTAATTAATTTGACTCTTCCATGCGCTTCGCCAGGACTCTCGCTATGTCGCTTCACCCACTCGACCTTCGCTTCGCTTGCCCTCGTGGGCTTGCTCTACTCAGGACCGACAAGAAGTTCTGCTTCCGCCTTTTTATGCTCACTCGAGGGGTAGGGACCTCAACACCACATGGAGTCGTGATGCTTTTTGTCGGTTCTTTGTGATATTACTTTATAATTATCTATCATTTTTTTTTGCTATATCGAGTTAGTAGCCTGCTAAAATTTTACCTTCCTTATTTCTGTAATTACTAGAAAGTGAATGTGTAATGAAAAAATAAACCATGGTGGCTCCTGCTTAATTATTCCCCAGTGAACTAAATTAGTACGGAAAAAGAGAGCGGTAAATATTGACCGTAAGTATATTCAAGTACTAGTAGCGTGGGTATGTGTATAAAATTTGGTAAATGTTGCATATAAATAGTGGAACTGTGGTTTAAAAAGATCGTAGATGATTTTGTTTTTGTTTGCACTCGGTGCAGTAAAAGGCACCTCTGGCCAGAAAAGCTTTACATCAAATAACAACGGTTATCGGATCGATTTACGTAAAGTATTCAGTTGTAGTATAGTTCAATGTGTTGCTATGAAAAGCACAGTAGGATCAGGGTCCTGCATGTGGTCATTTAATTGTATGAATTCGTCGCTCTCGTATCAGTCTATTTATTAATCGCAGACTGGTATTGCCCTCGACTTCCCGCCTAAGGTAACCCCGCGACCTAATCGTACCACACCTACGCTGTACCCGTTGCAGACGAGGCGCTAAAGCCTCCTCGCCTGCAACGCGCACGGGCAATGGCGATGGCGAGGCTCACCGGCGCCTCGTCGAACTCGAAGTCGGTGTCGGAGCGCCTCTCGGGCGAGGCGAGCGCCAGCGCCACGGCCGCCGCGGCCACCGCCGCCCACGCCACGCCGCGCATCCTGCAACCGCCGCTCCGACGAACCAACACTCGCGTACGCTCTCTCCCGCGCCCTCCGCGCCACTGCCGCCGGCGCCGCGTTCCTCACGCACCTCCCCCCCCCCCCCCCCCCCCCCCCCCCTCTACCCTCCCCCGTCCCCGTCCCAGACCCAACCGCGCTGACCTCTCCCGCGCCCGCGCCCCAGAGCAATGCACGAGATGAGGGAGCCCAGCCTAATTGATTGTCTACGACAAACACACCCCGACCGAACAACGGTGAATGACGTAATTACGCCTCCTCGCTTACCTATGTCACGTTATTACATTCACACAACAAAACTTAAATTGAATAGTTAGGTAGTGCTCCTACATCGGTTCAGAATAGACATGAGTCTGGTATTTAAAATTGCATCTACGAAACCCCAGACTTCTGGGAATAAGTGAGAAGTTATTGCAAATAAATTGTATTTACTGTCATATACTGTTTATGAATGCCTGATACACTGACACTTGCCGAGCCGAGAGCCAAACATCAGCAGTAGTAGGTTTTTGCCTTCTACTATCTCAACGTACCTATTATTTATTGCCTATCATCATCCACATCCATTCATCTACTCATCTTCGCACATCGTTCACGGGTATAGTTCTCTTAGTTTAATATCGGTGCCAATAGCGTTGCGCTTTGGATGTGAAAGGGTGGATGGCGCAGGGGTGAGCGCACTGCCTCCTACGCTACTCTGTGCCGTGGCGCAGCGCCCGGTGCCTCCCGAGATCGATACCTCACAGGAACCGATCAACCTTCGAGTTATATCATCATATATTTTAAAATATTTTTTTAATGAAATCATAAATTAGCCAAAAATGATTATAGTGCAACTTTAACCTGTGGGTGAACACTAGTTCTAATAAACAAACAAAGCAAACGTCTTCGAGAATAGCGATAGCTGACCAGACCAAAAACATGATAAAATACCTCTTGGCCAGGGTAAATTGCAAAAATAATTTCATAGGAACTGCAGCTCTCCTACGGAGCTTGTGTCCAGTAAAGCATAACATCCCGAGGCATAATAAGAACGACTTCAAACTAAATGTTCTCTGTAATTGATCACTATCATGTAGAATTAAGAAATCTACAGGTTTACCCAATACCTCGATAATAAAAACAACGTACTATAAGATCTCAAAGTGTTAACGTATGATTATATCTAGATTCAGTAATTTATTTAACACCTTAACAGCATTTAACGCAATCGGGTAAATAACTGAATAGGTGCGCGATATCATTGCAATCTCGAAATGTCATTGAAATAGTGAAAAACTAATGAGTTTTCGGAAATAATGGAATGCCATAAATGACAGCTAATTTTGAAATAGCAGATAAGCTAATCGGAAAATAATGCTTCAATAGAAAATATATTATTTTGAATTGTCACAATGAAACTAACATTTTAAGTATTTCAAGAAAATATTGGTATTAGAAAAAAAAAACAATCAGGAAATTCACGGTGTGTTGTGTAAAGATGAAGATGCTTGACATTGCATGAAATTCTCATTTGGATAGTGCACCTATGGTATGGATGGACAAAAGCATTTTGCAAAGAAACATTTCCCAGGCCGTTGCTAGAGCTACGCCGAATAATTGTCCGTCGACGCGTCGGTGCCGCTTTGTTTTACGTACCTCCGCTTGCCGCTTTGGGAACTTTCTCTACTTATTCTAATTGGGCTCAAGCTAACAATATACAATACACAATAAACACAAACAGGGTCAGGTTTGCAGCTATGCGTGTTTTGGACAGCACTTAATCGTGGTTTTGGTAATGTTATCTAATTATTTCAACAAATTTGCTGTTTTCACAAAAGTAAGTATAGAAGAGATCTCAAAACCATACCTAACATGAAAAATTGAAAAGTCGCAACACCGCTAAATTAGAAATTGTTTCTGTGAATTTTAATATTTACTTGAGTTTCTAATATATTGTTTAAATTACGCTATTTTCCTATAGTGATAAGATAAGTGTATCAAAAAAAAAAAAAAAGTAAAGTAACAGCCTATACATGTCCCACTGCTGGGCAAAGGCCTCCTCTAAACAGAGGGTATCAGGGCATAGTCCACCACGCGGCCCCACTGCGGATTGGCGGACTTCACATATCTTCGAAAAATATTTTTTTTTGTTATTATTTCGAAAATATGCAGGTTTCCTCACGATGTTTTCCTTCACCGCGGAGCACGTGATAAGTCAGCACTTAAAGTTAAAAACTTCATTGGTGCCGGCACCGAAGTGTATCAAATTATGAAAATGAACGGTTAAATTATTAGCCCCGTAATTGAAGTTTGGGTTGCTCGATACAATGGAATTTAAGGTACATTGCGATGCAAAGCGTATTTGTAAAAAAATCATTGAGTTTCTTTAGAGACTAAGAACATGTGAGGAATGTAAAAGTATCTGTATCTATACGGATTGTTACAGACTCCAATCCTTAAAACAAGCACATTTCGTACATCTTTTGGCTTGCGTTAAGGTCTGATGTCATTGATCTTATGATAACAAAATTTTTGGGCAAAAAATAAGTTCAACCTCTGCCACAACAGATGGTTAAAACTCCACAGCTTCAGCTAAACATCGCCTGCTTTCGACTGTATGCAAGTGTGTACATATGCAATCTATGGGACGCGGGATTTTTTTTAATGTTAATATTTGCCAAGCGACCAGACGGTTCACCTGATGTTAAGTGAATACCGCCACCGAATACGCGAGGGTTGCAAATGCGTTGACAATCTTTTGAAAATTGGGCTCCGGCCACCTTACTCACCAGACGTAACGCGAAAGTATTATACTTCCCATTTACGCCGGTCTTCTGCGATGTCGTTGTACTTACCCGGACGAGCTTGCCCATTCGTGCAACAGCCGAGGCTACTGCGTGGCCCTACCACCGTGGATTTGCTGTTTGCAGCGGTGCGGTGTTACACCGTCATAAGGCAAAAGAGAAGTAAGTTTAAGTTTTCCCTCTTTCCAAAATGAAAACTTTGGAATATCTTTTTTTATATCAGTTAGTAACATTTTTAAACTTAAATGTAATTTAATGAAAACTTGGTGGTAATATCTTTGTGTTTTATTCTGTATCAGTTTTTAAAAATTTTATCCGGAACAAGCCTTTTTCATGTTTGTGTATGATTCAATTTTTGAGGCGGGCAAAGTCGATTTTGCTACATTACCAGTCCTATACAGATAAGGATTTCGTAAAATTATGCAATGAAATTATTGAACATTATTTTTTTGTTTTTTTTTTTTTAATTCAATACTGGCCAGAACTTCACTGCCATCCCACCTGATGGTAAGTGGCGATGCAGCCGTTGATTGTATATTCTGTAATAGTTCATTGCAAGAGATACGAACGCCATCTTGGCTGAGACCGACATCGAGAACGTCATACATTTTCGGCCGAGACCGAGACATGGAACACAATGTTATATACACAAAATCTTTTATCATAAATATTAAAGTGTTCTGGCTTTCACTAATGTTGATTGATGTTGGGCCTGGAAGATTCATACCAAGTTCAAAATTAAATATAAGACAGTGACATATGGGAAATCCGTAAATAAAACTAAAAGCTCACACCTCACGTGATGAACTGACGACCTCAACCGATTGATCCTTGAGCAAAACTTACTAGAAAGTAGTCGCCAAGTAGAGCTTTTACCCAAATCTTAAGATAATAAAACTACGATTATATTATATAATACATTAATTTTGAACTTAAATATACAATAACTAATATGTGATGATTTAATAGTAATATATTTATATGATGGCACGTATACTTAATATACATGAGTTATATAAATATGCCAGTAGGGAAATACGACCATGGGTATACGTTTCATCTCCTTGCCTGCGGAGTAACAGGCTTGAACGTTTACGTAGGTACGTATACAATATCCCTGCATACACTAATGCCGAGTTCCGTCTGTACCTCGCTCTTTGTATTTAATGGTGGCACTTGACGTTCAAAGTGCTGCCTTCGTTCAATGCTCGTTCCTCGTGTTCGAAAGCCCTTCTCTCGGAACAGCCTTTTCGCTTTCTCTCACTCGGGACGCACTCAGGACAACTGTGGTATAGTTATTATAAATAAGTTGTTATTAGATGTTCAAATACCCCGATTGCTCAGTGCCCGGGTGCTCGATTTTAATTTGTAATAATTATTCGAGCAATCTGAGTTCGAGTCCCAGTGCCGGCAACCATGAAATTGTTATTTGCAATTTAAAAATAACAATATATACGGCCTTACCAATAAGACTGAATTACCCCTTTTAAGAAGTAATCTAGCTAATCGATACCACACCAACAATCTCTGTTTATTCTAGTGATGTGGCGGATCATTCAAGTTGTGGTTTCTTTAATTGTCACCGTGTTTTTAATCTAAAGTTAACAATTTTAATGTCACAGTGTATTAATTTATTTATTTATAATATTGATATTTCAATATCATTTATAAATATCCGCGGATACAGATACGGATATCCAAAACATCACTAATTTATTCAGAAAAACTATTTTCTGAGGCAGTTTTATTTTATGAAAAAAGTGCTGTCTTGATCCGAATCGTACCGAAAAATTGGTTTTTCTGCATCACAATCTGCCTCTTTTGGACTTGAAAATTAACTAAAAAGGATAACTAATGAAATACTATGTTTTATGTTGATACTGTGTTTTTTACAGGAATATTCAAGTTTGATTATTTTATAGTTTTTTTTTATTCATTAAAAGTTCATAAATAACGACTCACTGAGGATGGTAATAACCACTGTTATTCGGTTTTCTTTACTAATATTATATATAAAGAGGAAAAAGATTTGATTGTTTGTTTGCATTGAATAGGCTCCGAAAGTACAGAACCGATTTGAAAAATTCTTTCACGGTTGGGAAGATACATTATCCCCGGGTGACAAAGGCTATATTATATTTTCAAAAAAATTAGGGATCCTTACTAAAACTTCAATAATGTAACCCAAGGTGTAC